TGGAGAAAAAGTAACACTTCAAAGATCATAGATAAATGTATTTTTCAATCTGCATGCCTTGGAATGATACCACCTCTTTATAGTCCTATTGGGGAATGTTTAAAAGGATATTAGGGCATACTTTGCGCCGATTGTTAATCAGGATACTCCAAAGATAATATCTAATGCAAGTTATGTCCAGAAAATTGGATTAATTCTTTGAGATTGCTAGCTATATTAGTTGCAATGATTATTTTAGTTGTATTTATGGTTATTACTACTCTTAATGGAGCTAAAAATAATGAAAATTATACAAGCATTTACATGAAAATATTGCTTAATCATATTTAACTCTTGCTACTAACCTTTTCATTCGATTTTTAATGGTCTGAATAGATTATTAACTTTTTTGGATCAACTAACCAAGTGGCTGATTTTTCAACTTAAATATTTAGTTTTGATTGTTTCTTGGACTCTAACAATGAGTAAACTAGAAATTTTTTTGTCAAATTAATCATATTTGCTATCTTACCATTGTTAATAGTATTCATTTGCATGATATTTTGGGGAATATTTAATAGAGTTTGAAATAATTAATGCTATATTGATTCAAAATCAACATCTAGCCTTGTAATTTTGTTATTTCTGGTTCATCCTAGTATTGTTTAGTTTACTTTCTAAGATTTTAAATGCATGGATATAGATGGAGAATTTAGGCTTCAGGATGATTTAGATATAATTTGCTGGAATAAATTACATTTATTCTATAGTTACTTGGTAGCTATTCCTAGTATATTAGTATGGGGCCTTGGAATACCTTTTTACGCATTTATTATTCTTTTTAAGAATAGTTAAAGTCTTAATAATACTATAATGAAAGAAATGTATGGATTTCTCTATAGAGGATATAACATCAATTTTTACTATTGGGAAATTGTCATAATGTATAGAAAAATAATTATTATATCTATTTCTGTTTTCGCTGGTACATTTGGAGTCATTGCTCAAGCACTAATAATATTTATTGTATTAGTAAGCTTTTTAATGATAAATAATAAGTTATAACCGTTTAATACACCTTCACTTAATGAATTAGAGACATTATCATTGATCACATCAATGGTTACGATATATTGTGGGATTTTCTTTATTTTAGATAAACCTTAAGAATGGATTAATAATAATCCTGATGAAGCAAAAAGTGCTGTTGCTATTTCAATATATTTTAAAAGGATCTTTTTTGGAATTATTCTTATATCTAATTTGATATTCTTATTATATTGGGCTTATAAAGTGAGCTAACAAATTAAATAAAAAATTAGAACTAGCTTTTAATAGATTTACTTAGTGTTATGTGTTTGCAACAATAAAAGTAAATATTAAAAGGAGGAAATTCAATTTAATATTTAATCAATAAACAATTAGTATTAGGAGGAGATAAAGTATATAAAGAAATACTTTATAGAAAAAATGAATATTTGTAGCACAAAGTAGATCGAAATACTTCTTGCGAAGCAAAAGCAATTGCTGAAATAAACTAAAGAAAATATTGAGAGAAATTAGTTACAAAACAAGTCAATTAATAAATTAGTCAAACGAAAGGAAATATTGTCAGAGTAAGAAATTTTTATTATTTTTTAATAATTTATAGATAATCTTCAATTATTGAAGAGAGCTTGAACTATTAACATTTTGATGAATACCAAAATTCTTCGATTTACAAAAATTCACCAAAAGAAATTAATTTCGATGGCAAAATAAAAGGAAATATAAATAAAAAGAGCGGATTTTATAGTAAAACTCCTAAAAGTAAAAAATTGCCTATTAATAATGAATAATCCAAGACTATATAAAGTAGTGAGAATACATAAAGCAATATGAGTCACTTTATTATAAATGAAGGATTCACAGAAACACATAGAAGAATTAAAGTAATAGAAAATTAAAAAAGAATATATCACAAAACAAACACTGCTCAGTTGGATAACAATAAAAATATAAGTGACAATAATTAAAATAGTTTTGTTTAAAATAGCAGTGGTTTACAGGATCCTTGTCTAAGTGATAATAATTCTGAATTTCTTAGAGAACTAGAATTGATAAAATAGAGTGATTTTGATTTTGACACCTAATTTAAAGATTATAATGGATAGTAACAGAGAAACTAAAAAGGCACTCTAATATAAGAGGCCGAGGAAAAATTAAAAGTTGTAATTATCAAGAAAAATGATAATTTTAGATAAGGGAAATTAGGAACTCAAAAAGCATTTTATAATATCTAATTTACAGGAAATAAGAATAATTTATAAAATCCACAATCCATCAGACTATCTTAGAAAAGAAAATAGAATATTTAAGCTTAAAAAATTGAAGACTTAATATATTTACCAGTAGATACTGACTTCATGGATAAAGATTAGAATATTCAAAATTTTTACTAGTTGGACACTTAGAATAAAGATTTAATTGGAGAAGCTTGCAGTGGTATTTCTAACAATGTTAGATAAAATCAAATCTTAAGTAATGATGATTATCAAGATTTCTAACTAGAAAATAAGGTTGAAGAAAATGTTGCCCTCAATATTTTGCAAATGGAAAATCAAAAAAATGGTTAAGATTAGTTAATAAAGTGTCAGTCTATCGACTCTTTAAAAGAAAATAAAGTAGAAACTCCAGGAACAAATGATGCAGCTTAATCTTCGAAATTTTAAAATAAAGTTATTAATGATGAGAAATAACTGTATTAAAGTAAAGATGAATCATCTCACATTATTTCATCAGATCTCATTCTAGACTAAAGTTCAAATTCAAAAGAATCTGTTTTTAGAAATAATAACATGATTGATGAATGAAATTTTAAATAGACTTGGCTAAGCTAATTATAATTCTTAAGATAATAAGGTATCATCAATTATAATTTTGATTATAAATGCCTCAATAATTATTTACTAAAGAAACGATTAATTTAATAATGTTTAAGACGATTTAAAATTAAATGATATATATTATTTCCTATTTCTCTTAAATTACGCTAATCTTCATGAAGGGGTTTTGGGGTTTTGGGG